AGAAATATGGACTTTACAGAGTCTACAGTCTACACCGTCTACAGTCTACACCGTCTACAGTCTACACCGTCTACAGTCTACACCGTCTACAGCTGTCTAATTTAGAAGGCTATGCTTCAGTGGTATTCATAAAAAATATGATGAGTGATATTGAGAGCTTGAGATTAAATACATAATTGAGATTGTACTGTGTAAACCCAGGCCTCGGGCCTCAGTGAAGCCCTGGGTATTTCTGATTCACTGCATCAGGCGTCCTCAGGAGCTACTAGAGAGAGGCCAAAGCCAGCCAGGAGCCTGGGACCAGGGAGATAGGGACCTAAGCCCTAAGGTGGGGGGGGGGGCCTGGGGGGACAGGGGGGATTTTAGTATTTAAAATAGATAAAAAAGTAAAATATTTTTAGGGTGCTTGGCAGGCTGTTTGACTCTGCCTGAGTAGCGTGAGTGCGTGTCTGTCAGTCCGCGACTACGCAATGAAAATTCAAAATTGAAATGATGAGCGACCCGGCAGGCCGGGAACTCGAGACTATATATTGAGATTTGAGTGTGCAGAATGCCAAAAGAGTATTCGAAAGAGTGAATAGTATTCGATCACAATCAACCGAGTTAAGCGAATGAAAACTGTACAACTGGTTTTCTAAAACAAAATTTGTTAATATAAAAAAAATATAAAAACGTAAACTAACTCGCGTCTTTCTGGCGTAAACGTAAATTCGTGTTTACAAACCTCTTGAAAAAAGACACTAAAATAAAGTAAAGATATGTACATTCACGCATATATTTGTTTTGCTTTCAGAAAAAGCCCTTCTTTAAATAAATTCTTCCTCTTCTTGTTGATTTTAATTTTAATTTTTACAAAACTACTTTTTCGAGAGTTTTATTTTTTTAATAAATATGGTTCGCTCGGTTGTGCTACATGTGTTGTTTAATTTTAATTTTAAAAACAAAACAGCCCCCAACTTCCTCGTCTAAACTTTAAAAATAAATAACAGTTAATTGTTTTTGTTTTGAAAAGAACATGTCTAGAAGTTCAGATTGAAGAAAAGTATTTATAAGCGTTTCTGTTCAACTTTCATTTTGTCTACGCTCTATAGGACAATAGCCCTAATGTAAAATTTATTTATTTATTCAGAATCAGTTTAAAAACCCCCCATGAACGTATCGCGAAATTCGAATTCGAAACCAAAACTGAATAATAAAATATGATCGGATTATTTCAAATTTTGAGTAGAAAGTTGCTCTATATTGCAAAATCGTTATAGATTTAAAAATGCAAATTTGTGGAACATCACAGAAGAAAGATCTTCTCATATTTAATTTTTTAGTGTGGCATTGAATTGAATACGATTTTTTTTAAATAAATAAATAAATAGTATACCTGTTACATCAATGTTTTTCTGAACTTATAAGTATACTCCCTACTCTCATGTTGTAGACACTATCTCTTATTCTCTCTCTCGTTACGGAGAGTAAAGAGTAGAAACTAGAGAGAAAGAGAAAGAGAGAAAGAGAGGCACTCATGAGTCAATAAGTCATAACTCAACTCAGACTGAGTGAGAAAGTCTACAGAGATATATTTTTTAACAAAGTCACAATCCCCCGGTCCTCACTCGTCAGTCACTTGTATGTTTGTTTTAAACAAAATTGTAAATACCTCCTTTTTGAAACTAATTTTTTTAGTTTTGTTTTTGTTTTTTAACCTGCAGCCTGCCGACTGCCTATTGACCTACACTCAGGTGCCAAGCTTTTATTAACTTTATCAAGCCAACTCATGAGCCAGACCGATAGACCCAGGCTTTTATTAACTTTATCAAGCCAACTCATGAGCCAGACCGATAGACCCAGGCTTTTATTAACTTTATCAAGCCAACTCATGAGCCAGACCGATAGACTAGAAGAAGTCTGGGTTTTAGGGTCACGCAAAACGCACCTCTCTGAGAGAGAGATTAGTAGGGCAGGAATGAAAATTTGAAGCATATGTAATGGTAAAAATAAAAATAAAAACAATAATAACGACACTCCTAGAGTAAGATGACGCATGACCTTCGCTCATGACCTTCATTTTTTCTTTGAAACCACCCTCTGGGCTTGATCGCTCGCTTGATTATTTCCAAAAATAGGCAAAGAGGCATAATATTAAAAATTCGGGTTTTTGTTATATTTTTTTTAAAAGGGTAAGGACCGTCGTTCTGCTTTCGCTCTTTTTATAATCCATTTTCTAAAGAATGTATAGGAGCTTTTTCTAAAAACAAATCTTGTAGAAAACAAACATGGGGTTTGAATAAAATGGTTGTCCAATGTTCAGAAACTCAGAGTCAGTCTATCAAAGACGCAGAGTCGCAGACTCGCAGACTCGCAGACCAAGGTTTCACAGCTATTTATATACTACCGCTATAAAATACTAAATAGCCGCTTTGTCCTATTCTACTTATTTGTGTTTTCTTTTGTTTTTGTGTTTAATTAAAAAACAATTCAGAACAACGATAAAAACCAAAAAAAAAATACCGCTATTGGTGATAGATTCAATTTACGGTTTTGGGTTTCACCATAGCCCTCTAAATTTAAAAAAAAACAACCAGCACTTCTAAAAATAGCAATTTAGGGAGTGTAGTAGTGTCCGGGAGTTGTGAACTTGTGACTTGTTCGTTGTGTTCAACTACTGTGAGTGGACTGTAGACTAGTGATTGTGGTCAGTGTGCCGGAGTGTGGTGAGTGGTGAAGTGGTGGTGACTGGTAAGTGGTGAGTGGTGAAGTGGTGGTGACTGGTAAGTGGTGAGTGGTGTGTGTTTCTGACAGACTGACAGTCTAAATTCTGAAACTTGTTGAGAACTTAAAGAGTAACTGATACTCCGACTGTCTACCATAAATCAGAGACTCAGTCTAAAACTAAATACAGTGGTGTTCTCTCTATAGTTCTCGCTCTAAGAGAGAGAAAAGAGTCTCTACTACTAGTTGACTGATGACTCTCTACTACTACTCTCTAGAGAGTAGAGACTAGAGATTAGTAGAATGGTATTTAAATAGAGTCTACTCAAAGTACTGTTGGTTATAAAAAAGAAAACAATATGCCATATGGCTGGTGGATATAATTTTGTTCTATTTGTTTTAAAAAAACCAATAAATAAATAAATATCAAGTCATGTGTGTATTATTTACTGTGATTGTGAATATTTGTTTCTTGTTTTATGCGGCGAGTGTTCTAACTCCTAGCTGCTATCATCACTATTTTCATTGAATTTTGGAGGCTGTGGCCTAAACAAAATATGCTATTTGTTTTTCATTTTTTAATTGTAAAACAGAAGTATTCAGATTTCACGGGGGCTAAATAAGCCGCCAAATACGAACAAATAGTTCTTTTTAGTTTTTTTTTTGCATAGCCTTCTAAATTGAAACATTTGTTTTTGTAGTTATTTTAACTATTTTTGCATAGCCTTCTAAATGAAACATTTTTGTTGTTGAATATTATGGCGGTTCGGATGTGCTACTTTATTTTGGGGTATATTTTGGACCCAAAATACAAGGGGGGGAACAAATTACAATATCGGCATTGAACCCTGGTTTTGCCCTAGTTTGTGGTGCATTCTCAAACCCTTTACGATTGTTGTATTTAATTGAAAAATAGTATTTTAAATACATAAAAATATAAAGGTGTTTGGGTCTTTGGGATTGTAGGGTGTATTTAGTATAGCTTCTCTAGAGATTTCGAGTTTTTTTTCAAATCGTTTACGACATCAGATATTCAGTTGGACATTCACGATATATAGTGGGCCAATATGTATTAAATATTGGGCATGTATACGTGTGCAAAATTTAAAAGTGCCAAATGCACCAAAAATCTAAAAGTCCAGGGGGACCCTAAAAGCTTTTAAAACAAATGAACACACCCGAACCTCCATATTGTTTTAAAACAAAACAAAACAAAACCAGAAACAAAAAACAGTGGTTTTTTAACGGCAACTTGGAGCTTTGCTACCTGGAGGCTGGGGGGCAGGGGGGGGGGGGGGCTGGGGCCTTGGCCCTTGAGGTTTATTTATGCCCCTTTCTACTTCTTAGAAACTAAACTTGTTCAAAAATAGTAATAAAAGCAACCATTTCTGTTTCAAAAATACAGCTAACAATAAACCTATTTTCAAAGATATTTTTTCAATAAATACGTATTGAATAGTATAGTTTGTACTGAGTACTCTATTGTAAGAAAAGGGCCTATCCGAATTCCGAAGTTCACGAACCACAGCCAATAGAGCAATTTATAAATACGATACACTGCTCAGTATTTTATATATATTCAGTGTGCCCGTGTATCTCTCTCTCGCAGAGAGTGAGAGCAAGAGAGTAGAGTGGCGATTAAAAAATGTATTCGGTTGTTTTTTAAATAAATAAATTTATTATAAAAAATAAATATATATATATATATATCCCACACTGTACTTCTTTTAGGACTGAAATTTTAGAGCAGGCGTCACAAACTCACAATTCAAATGTCATAAATATAAAAGTTTTTTTATATTTAAAAATAATGTCAATATACTTTATTCGTCCGAGGATATTCAATATTCATTGACCACCCTTCATTGGGATTATTAAATCGAAAATGTCTGACTTTAAGTGACCGATAAAACTGACCGAGTAGCGTGTACGTTAAACGCTTTCAAATCAAGAGGTATACCCTGTATGTAACGTTTTTTTTTTGTGTGTATTAAGGGCGGTTCTAAACTTCTAATTAAACCCCAAGGAGGCCATTTTCCAGGTCAGTGATCAGCTATTGCCCCGACCAAAAAATATGAATGTGTACTACCTCGGCCCCATACGGAATAAAATTCAGGCCAAAATATATACAATAGAACGTTAAAACGATTTCATCATTCTACCTTTTTAGTTCTCTAGTCCTTCCAAAGCATCTTTCGCAAATGGGGGGGAAAATCCCCTTCGTTGGCGTTTTTTTCTAGATATGATATGTACTTATACTTTGTGTTGGGTGGTTTTCACAGCACACTTCATATATAAATACATATCAACTCACTGACTTCTACTAGTTTCTTCTTCGTCTGCCACTTATTACGAATTCTAGATTAATACGCAGGCGTGTGCTACAATAGCGACCACCGTGCAATAGCAATCACCGCGTGCTTCGCTAATTAGTTTTATATGTAGAACGTCTGTGTCAATAGCGTTGTAGTATACCTTTTTGTGCCGTTAGCACTAGCGATAATTGTATCAATTACAATGATGAAGCGCAGAGCTGATGACGAGGAGGATGGGAGTTGGTACGATGGTCAAAGCATCCACCAACAGCATCCCATTCAAACACCCCACACACAGGGACAAACTATGCAGCAATCGCCACACTTACAATCACAACACAGACCACAACATCATCCATTACAACAAAGGCCATCCCGTGGATCGGTCTTGCTTCAAACGGCGCATCATGCGCATAACTGTCAGCACTCACAGCAATCAGGGCAGCAGGCACAAACTCCACTACAACAACAACACCAACAACAAATACTGCCGTTGCATCAGCAAGGCTATTCGCAACATTCACAGGAGTACACAGGGCACCACCATCATCAACAATCACAAATACAGCAGCAGCAACAACATCAACATCAGCAACACCAACATCCACACCAACAGAAACAATCAGCGCAAGTCCAGCACGCACATCAACAACCCCAACAGTCGCAACAGCAGCAACAAGGTGGTGCAATGCAAGGCATGCATTCGCCAGGTTCTCAGTCGCAAGCAAGTGAACAAATCAACAGGCAAGGTGGAATGGCAGCACCAGAAGTATTTATCTCTCCATTGTTTCGGGCTGTGATGGATCATAGGATAGACGAGCTCCGACGCCTGTTGGATATCGGGGCAAATATTTTTGAGACGACTGATAAGGTGAGTTTTCATTTTGTTTTTTTGTAGGCTGTTTTGTATTCAGATGGGGGAGTTTACGATGGATGCATTTATTTTAAGCTACTGTTCTTGATGTACCAGGGACAAAAAAAATCGTAACTACAATCGTATTTGCTGAAGCTGTGTGCACTTCAGCCTGTGTTCTTGGAACTCGCACCTATTTTGTTTACAACGCGCAATTACCTGTATGTATCTCTCAGGACTTTTCATACTAAATACATAAATGAATTTACTTGAAGTTGCAGTACTTTGTATTAAATTTGACGGTTGCTTTCTGGCAGATGCGATCTCTCCTTCATGTAGCAGTTGCAGAAGGAGACACAGACATTGTGAGTCTTCTTTTAGAGAGAGGGGCCAATGTTGAAGCAAAAGACTCGGTAAGCATTAATTCAGATTTGCATCATGATCCTCGTCCAGGTTTGCTATGTGTGAATCTCGCCAACGGGTTTGTTTTATTCTAACTTTTAGACCTATGCTTTTGATTCTCAATTACGGCTACTACCCTTTCCCTAGATTGTTGTCATTTATGAAATATACAACCCGTATGTTCGAATTATAGGCCAAGAATACTCCTCTTTACTCGGCATTGAATGTGAACGGGGTCTTTAACAGCGAGATAATTGCTCTGCTGTTGAATAGTGGAGCCGATGTCAACGTGAAAAATAAAGTAAGTTCTCACCGTGGTTCAATAAGAGAGCAACAAGCTAAAGTACACACGGTTTATTAGGATATCCGCACTGGTCTGTGGTTCAATAGGAGAACAACAAGTTAGAGCACGCACGGTTTATTATGATATCCGCATTGGTAGGGTGTACTGTACTGTACTGTACTGTCTGATACTAAAAGTGGCGGAAAGTTTTACAGCAAGTGAGTCTTCAACTGTTATCGGAGAGTTCAGCGCATCACGCAGAATCTTCCTATAGGCTGACCTATTAGAATTCTTTTTTATGGGTATAGTAGTGAGGCGAAGTTTCACATACTAATGAGTTGATCACTCATATTGATTACACCCCGCCACGAACAGGAGCAAAAAACACCACTATTCATGGCTGTTGATTCACACGAGAATTTCAGCCAGATTGCCAACATAGTGGATATGCTGCTGGAAGCAGGTGCCGATATTGATGCTCATGGACCGGTAAGTAAATGATTACCTTTCTCAAAAATATTTGATCTGTTTCTTAGTGTAGTTCGTTCACACTCCGGTGGTCCTATTGTAGAAGTTCCACCAACAAAATCTCGGCCCACTCAGATAGCTATTATTAGCGTCATTACTTCCATTCGTGCGACCGATTGGATCGCACAGATAGTTGGTTTTGGTAGAACACAAATGAGTAAATCTTCTGTTTTTAATCCATTAGGGCAAGCTTACACCCCTCTCTCGAGCTGCGGGGGAGTCGAAGACTGAGATTGTTGCTATGCTGCTGACGCATGGTGCTACTGTTCATACCATTTCATATGTAAGTTCGTTGATTTGCAAGGTGCATTTTTCCTCGAGATTTGTTGTTTTGTTTTGAATGCTCCATAGTGTGAGGATATGTACTGATTAGAATTGTAGGCTTATGTAACGTGATGTAGTATTTCCATGTATCGAATCACATTTTGCGATACGCGACTCAAACTTCGAAATACCTTTTGTACAGAATGGAAAGACTCCGCTACATCGAGCATGCTATACAGGGTCTGTGGATATAATCAAACTTTTACTCGATGCGGGTGCAGACCCGGAAGCGCTGGACAAAGTATGCTGCAGTAGATTGTAATTTTGTCTCTCTTCAATTTCGATATCTTGTCCAGTTGCGAGGATCCACGTTTGTGTTATGGGATGCGTAAGATTTTATGTCTGATTAACTTGATGCCATCATCTGTTCGACACATATTTTTTGGCTAATTCATAGTCGTGTCTTCCTTAGAAACAAAACACTCCGCTGAGGTTAGCTGGACATAACCACGAATTGTCTAAGGAGGTTTTAGCAGAAATCGAAGTGCTCATCAAGGACAATATAAAGGCCAATTCGAACAAGAAGGGTACTGCGGCAGCGAACGGGACCTCGTCGTATCGGCCGCAGATGGTATTTTGGTGTATTATGCTTGCCCTTGTGTTTGTTAACTTGCGAAAGTAAATACATGATTGCTTTCATTATTGTACTGTAGGTTTATCGAGTGGTCGATTTCCTGCTGGATACTCGTTGGAATCACGTCGACGTGTTATCAATGTAGCCAGTCATTTTCTTTCCGAATCAATCTGGTGAACCCGAAGAACTTGTAAAGATTTGGTGCAATAGGGCTTGACATTTTCAACATACGTGTGCAATTGTTGATTGATCATTTTCTCCTCGCATCTCACAGAATCTAGGAACGAAGAAGATGAAATACAAATCGGATGTCGTAGAGAATGTTGTACATGGACCTGCGGCAGGAGTAGAAGGAGATGGATATATCCAAGAAATCAATAAGGTAAGTAAGTACTATTTATATTCAACGAGTATCTAGATCAAGTCCTAAGCGTGTATATTGAATTTTAAAAACTGCAATAGTAAACGCACACATCTTGTTCTGAGCGATGGATGCTATTTTCTTTCGACATCGGAACACAGTTTGAAATATTTCTACCCCCTTTCTAAAGACTGAACATCTGAGCTTAAGAGGCACCTGGCCGCGTGCACTATTCACGTACTAGATGTGGATCAGCCACTGAATTTATTGTTTGTGTACACATGTGTTTGACGATTTGAGGGATTATGGTTTATCGTATTCCACAGGAACATTTCTATGTGCTGGGTACTACATACTTCACATCCGACAATTTTCTTAGTGGGCATACACAAGTGGCTCACCTGGTATTATAGCGAGACCCAATTGTGTTCGAGTAATCGAGTGTTTCTGTACTCTACTACTTGAGAGTTGAATTTTTTGTTGAACTAGTTCACTAGGTCTGCATATAGTCAAGTATGCGATGGATTGTCCGTGAAATTTTGCATTACTAATTGTTCATCGCGGTCTTTTCGTTTTGCATGCAGTTACGTACACAAATATCAAACACGACGAGAGAATTAGACGATGCGAATAGGAAACTGCGGGAGAAAACTGACATCATTGACAAGCTCGCATTAGAAAAGAGTGCGGAGTGCGAGTACTACCAATCTCAAGCAAACAAGCACAGGACGCAAATTGCAATGCTGGAAGAGAAACTGTCGCACTCGGGCAATTCGAAGACAGGCAGCTCACCAATGTCCATAAATCATCCAGAGCTCACGTATGAGCAACTACGCGACGCGCTTTCTCAGAAGGATGTGGAAATAGCTGATCTACGGGCGAAGCTGCAGAAGGTTCTAGAGGCGATAACGTAATTCATGAGCGACAGTTTATCACATTAATGAATTAAAACTTTATCAAGTACAATCCTGGCGGCTATACATACGGAGTACAAGCGTGAACTCATATGTTGGTCGATTGGTAACCCCTTAGCGAAGCTGGCTCTGATGAGTGGAATGCGGAGTGACACCCTTTTCAAGCTAACAATGGGAAGGGAAGTGACACCCCGGTAGTGTTTAGCTCTATCGCATCAATATTACATTGATGTCGGCCTATAGACAACAGGTCACATCAATGGTTGGATCTGTGATGCGGCACTCTGCGCGTGAACCCCTAATTTGAGGATTTGCAATGGTTGTATACCTTTTTTTAGTCAGCGCCCAATGTGGCGTGATTAAAAACGATACTCAATTCACACACGGTTTCTTTGTCGGCTTCTAGCATGTACAGATATGCGGGATACAGGCGTTTCCTAGGTTAACTTAATCTTAACCGGCATCTACATATAAGTGTCTGTACATACTGCTGTTTAAATTCTGTGAGTTGTATTTAAATTCTATCCGCTTCTATTGGTGGATGCAAAATGGGACAGCTACCGAGTTCATGATAGAAGCCGTCACTAACGTTGAAAGCGGAATATTGCATGTTGTCGCAATTTGATGCTGGAGTACTTTCGATATCCACACATGCTTTGCTATCCATGTACCAGATGTCAACATGATGAACGACTACAGGGTAGTATTCTGAACCGATAGTATTCTGGCCACTATATTCTCGAACCGATAAACACAGTCTTTCATAAGCTGTTGCACAGCAAATCATGCAATTATGCATACCAACATCGCACCCGTGCAAATCAGATCTCTATTATATATATATAAATATATATATGTATATGTATATATATATATATATATATATATATATATATATATATATAGTATATATATATATATATATATATATACTATATATATATATATATATTATAT